ACCGTAGACAACACATTATACTTCCAATATCTTCTCAGGCGGTAGTACCTCCCTGTTTGGTGGCTGCCTACTACCTTAGTAAGCTGACGAAGAGACGGAAAGGATAAACAAATAGTCAACATAGTTGTGGGTGTGAACAAGGAGACTGACTGAGAAAGTTGTAGATAAACACTTCTCTTGCGTAAAACCACTTAATTAACGTGACCACACAGGGAAAGGCGATCACTCAGTGTAAAATAAGCACTGTACGCTAGGCTACCACACACTCCATGCCACATCCTCCGAGAAATTTACCTGTATTGTCGTTTTGGTAGCCTGGCCCTAACACAGCAACCATTATTTCTTTGTACTTCATAATCATATTCTCTTTACAATATTTTGTTTAGTGTCTGTGGTAGGTTACAATTAACAAAACTAAAACTCCCTCCGTATAGAAAAGTATCCTGTCAGGTCAGAAACGGCAGATGTTGGGCTGAAGTGATGGTGTAGTTTGATTACCTGGCCTTGATGTTTTATTGTGAGGCGGTTGCGGGTGTGAGATAGTACTACTTGAGTGTTATCACACCTCCCTCCCTCTCCCCTTCCCTCCTCCCCCCTTCCCCCCTCTATTTTTCTTTCCCTACTTCCTTTTCCCCCTCCCTCCTTCCCATCCCCTCCTTTCTTCCCTTCTCCCCCCTTTCCTCTCCCCCCCTCCCTCCCTCGCCACCCCACCCCTGTTTCTCTGGTAGTTACATCAGATCGTTATCTCCAGAGGCACCCGGGAGATTACAATCGTGTGTGTGTGTGTGTGTGTGTAAAGACAATATTTTTTAAAGAGAGTCATTGGGTCTATTAATTTCGGTCATCTAGTTTTTAGCCCTTCAGACACATTGTAAACGTCTTAACCCCCCCACACACACTAGCTCCAAAGACAGTATAGTGCCACCTTTGAAGCCTTGATAATTAAAGCCACTTAAGTGTAAAGAGTCTGTCACTTATAGATCATAACACAAATAGGAAAGTGCCACACAGGGTGGTGTAATGCGTCTAGTGTGGCAGTATTATGTTAGTGTTAAGATGCAAGCACTGCTTGCTTCCTCTCGCATTAAGATACCGCCGCTGTCTAGCCCTCGTGGCGAACAGGGAAGCAACAGCCACAAGTCCTCCCCTGCCAGTACACATCCTCTTTACCACCAAGACTCCTGCTGTGCCTTTTCGTGGCAACACACGATAACTGGGTGCCTCGTGGGTCCAGGCTAGACCAGCAGTGGATCCCAGAGGGACGGCGCATATAGGCCCATTGGCCTGTGGACACGTCCTGCCGCCTACCAACTGCTGCCCCACTGCCGTTGCCTTGTGGATTAACCTTGATAGGTATATTGTAAGGCTACAGGAGTAAACTCCGAACGAAAAATCTGTGGTGGAGCCCCGCAGCAGGCAGACATGCTTACAGAGCAACAAGACTCCAACGGCGGTGAAGGCAGAAGAGGTGACCACCATGGGAACACAACGACTACACCGACAGACGAAGGCAATGCATGATGGACAGGCTACTAAGGCTAAGCCCAACAAATTGGGCTATTGGCAGGCCATTGCAACTCTCCCTCTGCCTAGTCATTGCAATACTTGCACTATTGGATCAGGAAAAGGGAGAGCCAGGATGTGTGGTTGCAGCCTGCGCTCCTGCCTCTCCACATAAATCAACTCACGCACAGCCATCATCCAGCTCATCATACCTCTATCCTCAACAAACCCCTATACCCTCAAAAGTCCTATGGCGACGGACGAGTGGCGACGGGGACAGGCAGAGATGACTGCCGGGAGTCCCGAGTCACAACTGTGCACATGGGTGGCATAGATAAGATGGTCGTTTTTGTACTGGGATCTGGGCAGCAGTGCAACCTGATCCTATCTGTGCAACTGAGCAGCCCTTCGAGGAGCCACTCTGCTCCCCCACATGGGGAGTGGGATAGAAAAGGTGCCCTAAACATAGCCTGCCTAAAGAACCAACCTGACTGGGCAACCGCACCCAGTAAGGTCATCCTTATGAGGTCGAAAGCACAATCATAAACACAGATCAAAACAAAACACCATATAACCTCTTATGGTCGCTGCCTGGAATGTCAGAACCCTTCTAGAAAATGGCACAAATGAGCATCCTGAAAGAAGAACCGCCCTTGTGGCAAAAGATCTGGCTAGGTATAGCATCGAAATAGCAACCATTATTGAGTCCTGGCTCCCAGACGAGGGTCGACTCACAGAACGGTAGTCTGACTATACCTTCTTCTGGAAGGGTAAGCCTGCTGCAGAGAGAAACTACATTTATAAAGTTGGCTTTGCCATCCACCAATGCATCCGACATAGGGTAAATGAAATGCCTGTTGGGCTCAACGAGCGCCTCATGACACTCAAGAGTCCCACTGAATCACTTATGTCATGCCTTCTTCATCAGTGCATATGTCTCAACACTGGTGTAACAGTGTCTGAGGGTTCGAACCAATAGGGTGAATGCCTTAGTCCTTGAACCAATAAGAAAACCTGTAAGACGTGATGTCATGAAGAGGTGGCGTCCCTCAGCTCCCTTTGTGACCGACGCGGTTTGAAAAAGTCAAGTCGGGTTTTGGACAGAGTAAAGTGTGGGTGCGTGTTGGTGTCATCTCATATGTCGGGATATAATGTGAGTACCTTTTAGGTTTATCCATTTCACGAAATGTATGGTGATTCATGTGACCCCTGGTTAGCTAGCTAGGAAGATAGGTTATTGTTTTGAAGTGTAACTGTTCATTTTGAGTAATATTGATAGTGAACGAAGAACCGCTATGATTACTGTAGTTCTCAATTCCCTTGTGTTGACTTAAACATTGTCATGCATTCCTTTGGTATTATGCAGTAATACAGTGAGTCCTAAGTAATAACTATTTCATATTTCCCCTCTGTTAAGTGTTGTATCTTAGTCCCCAGCTATCCACCTCAGTTATCCACCTCCTCAGTCTTCCCTTGGTGTGAGAGCCGATTGTAGGCCTAACCACTGACCACAACCTCCTTCCCCCACTCACACCCTCCCCTCAAACATAAACAAGTCTCTCCCTCTCTCCAAGTCTCCCTTTACGGTCACCTAACGAATTGTAAACGTGAAGTTGGCGGGCAACTGAAAAGGTACAAGGATAATCTTAAAGCAAACCTGAAAAATTGCCAACTCAACCCCCTCACCTGGGAGAGGATTACTCCACACCGTAAAGCTTGGAGGAGCATCACACAAGACAGTGTCAATACTTTCGAGTTAACCCGAAAGCATATAGGGCAGACAAGCGCCAACGCCGGAAAGACGTTGCCACCGCTCTCCCCGCACTAGATGTAGCCCTCCACATGTGCAACATCTGTGGACGGCCCTGCCGGTCCCGTACAGGCCTCTCTAGTCACCTCAGATCTCACCAACGAAGGTGACAGCAAAGTAGTAGTAGTATATGTGTGTGTGTGTGTGTGTAACAGCATCTCCACCATTCAGCTTTGCTAACAAAGAGACACCGTGCAAGGTTGTGGCAGTTACTGTAGGTTTTCCTCCGTATTCTAAACCCTAACTTGTCTGAGGTTGGTCATTGTGTCATGCTCTCGACTCTCTTCCAGAGTCATCATCGACAAGTCGTTTACGTTTGCCTTCATTATTTGCCCTTTCTAATTTTGTATTGTTAAATTTTAGTTATGATTTTTTGCATTGTTTTTCTTGAGTCTGTTCATTACCAGTGTCATGTCAAGTCAACTTGGGTGTAAGAGTATTGGATGAATGTGTAGAGCATGGAGCTTTGAAACGTTTTCAGCTAATGTTTAGTATCCAGAACTGAAATGCACTGTTTTAAAGGAAGGTTGGACGAGAGGCTCAGCAGTGACAAAATTTTCACCAAACTGTTGTAATTTGAGTTTCTACTGCTGTCATACTCTCGGACGTTGTGAACAAGAAGTTGCATTGTTGAGGGCATAGTTAATGAAATGCATAGCTGCATTACGTATATTCATTGCACAGCACCCTATTTTTAGAATTGAAAGCTATATATTATAAACCGATTATCGATAACATAATATTCTATTACTGTTTATCGTTCAAATTAGGTGTATAAACCAGCTACAGACATAAACATTTACCAGTTAATCTTTTATTGTGGGAGATAAATTGGTGGTCATTTCGAATTTTTAGTGGATTCATTATTAACTTTGAAAAGTGTCACTTGTGGATAATTTTTGCAACATTCCATGCTTGTACCTGGACATAAACTACTCTTCAGAGTTATCAACTACACTATTATGGGCGTGAGGGTTGGGGGCACCAGTGGTTGCCCTCACGTCCTCAAGCCACAACCACTACTCACACGTCGACCAGAACACGGTGGACGACTTCCTCAACACATCCAGCCAGGACACTGCCTCCCCAATTTGACTCAGTATTTTAAGCTCTTGTCTTCAGAGGTTTGGAGTTGTCCTGATCGAGGCGGCGGATCCTTTCACGAATTTTGTTATTCATCTTATAAAATAATTCTTTATATTCCCTTGTCTAAAATTATTTGATTTTTTTCTTCCGGTTTTACTATAATTTGGTAAAAAAAAATCGCGACTGCAAATTATCTATAGTGATTTGTGAAGCCACAAGTAGATGGCATAATCCTCCACAATAAGACGGGGTCAGCACCGTAGCCATATTTAAAACTGATAGTGTAATTGATGAAGTGTAAATGACAGTGTAACTGACGGTGTACTTGTATATGTTGGTGTAACTGATAGTGTAGTCACGGACATGGTGCATGAGCTGCCTGCCTCTCTAAAACAAACTCGGGAACGTAGGGTTCTAAAGTTATTAATATTGACAACGATAATAATAGTAATAATGTTTATTATAAAATTTCACTTATAATAATCGATAAAAATAACAACAATTATAGAAATGACAATGTCAATAGTAATAATGTGGATTTTTTTTAGCTATAATCATAATGGACAAATTTAGTCATTAAAAACTGTCTTTCTTATCGTAGCTTGAGTACTACGAGGTCTGGGGAGCTATCCAAGAATGTCGGAACCAGCGGAAGCGAAGATGGACAAAGGAGAGACGACGACGGAAACAGAGGAACTAACAGAGAAGACCACAGAGCCAACAGGCATCAGTTACGTGATCTACCAGGTGAGGGAGCCTACTACATGACTCGCCCCTGAACAACACTCAGCCTATACTCTGCAGTGTTGGACGGTAGGGGTGGGGGGGGGGGGCATAACGCACAGGGGAGGAGTAAACAGCTTGAGATGATCCCCAATAACATACGAAAGTCCATAATTACAACCAAGTCTGGCAGGTAGTCACTGAAGGATGTTTAAAGATTATTAACAGGTACTGGACGGCTAATGTTATTACTGCACAATAGCACGTTCAGTTCAGTTCAAAATTTTATTAGCGTCGTTTACCCATGTTGCAGCTAAAACATAATTATAACAGCACTTCTTACCCCACGTTCAGCTGCGTTAAAAGCCAATGGTAAAACTAAGCTTTTCTTTCGCGGTCTCACTTTTTTTTTATTATTAAAACTTATAAATAAATAAAACTGAAAAATCTCAACGTATCTCCAAAATTACAACAGGTTTTCTCGTGCAAGGTTTGATGATAAATATTATATACGACCGTGAAGGGAAAATTCAAATTTTCTACTTATAAAGGTAACCTTGATCTCGTTGAGCATCGTACAGTACAGTGTATGTAGGTCTCGAGAACCTTGTGAACAACAGGCCATAACGCTTTACGTCACCATTACGTACACGCATTAACAGAACGATACGTAACGCAGATCGATCTGTTTAATTTTTCACGCTCACTCAAGAAATCATTTCACACGTCAGTTATAAACAAAGCGCTATTCATTGTAGTGTTGTGTAATGCTATAGTCTGAGATGTGATTCTTTTCTTATATATGGAGAGGTCTTTAAAATATCTCTGTGTGATAAATGTCTTAGCATATGTAAAAAAACTACACCGAAATATTATTGTAAATGAGCAATATCCATTAACCCCTCCTGACCCCCTGCCAGTGTAATGCGCCTCTATAAACCATACAATTCAGTATGTATTGGGAATATGTGATTTACAGTAAGGGCTTCATCACGAAACAAACAATACACTACGATATTTAACATATGCAAATTTAGATCATAATCGGGCTGTAGTGATGTACTGTAGTATGCAGGAGAGTGTTAAAACAACTGGCCGCCGTCCACTATTCCCCGCCCCCTCTTCTAAACCATCCACTTCACTCACTTCAGTTTCTAGTCACTTACACCTTATATAATAAAGGCCTGGGAATTAAAGTCTGTGTTCACATCAGCTAATTGAACTTGTGATTTATATAAGTTTCATCCGAGAAACATGTGTTTAATGTGAGAAATGCCTTCTTTTTTTTTCTCAGCGGCATTATCGATAGGCCGAGGCGGGCAAGTGGATGTAGTGTTCACCCCCCTTGTTAATGTTTGCTGGTTCACCACACCCCACACATCACCACACCCCACACATCACCACACACATTACCACACCCCACACACATCACCCCACCCCACACACATCACCCCACCCCACACATAATCACACATCACCATTCCCCACACATCACCACACACATCACCACACATCACCCCACACATCACCACACCCCACACATCACCACACATCATCACACCCCACACATCACACCCACACATCACCACACATCACCACACCCCACACATCACCACACCCCACACAGCACCACACCCCACACATCACCACACAACACACACCCTACACATCACCGCACCTCACACAGCACCACATCCCACTCATCACCACACCCCACACAACACCACACCCCACACATCACCACACCACACAGCACCACACCCCCACACAGCACCACACCCCACACAGCACCACACCCCACACAACACTACACCCCACACAACACCACACCCCACACATCATCACACACCACACATCATCACCACACCCCACACAACACCACCACACACCACACCCACACATCACCACACCCCACATCACCACACCCCACACATCACCACACCCCACACCCCACACATCACCACACAACACCACCACACAGCACTACACCCCACACACCACACCACACATCACCACACCCCACATCACCACACCCCACACATCACCACACACACACACCCACACACACCACACCCCACACACCACACCCCACACATCACCACACCCCACACCCCACACAACACACACCCCACACAGCACCACACCCCACACAGCACCACACCCCACACACACCACACCCCACACACCACACCCCACCACACACCCACACAGCACCACACCCCACACATCACACCCACACATCACCACACCCCACACACACCACACCCCACACAGCACCACACCCACACACACACCACACCCCACACCACCACACAGCACCACACCCCACACCACACACCCCACACAGCACCACACCCCACACATCACCACACCCCACACAGCACCACACCACACAGCACACACCCACACACACACAGCCCACACACCCCACACATCACCACACCCCACACATCACCACACCCCACACAGCACCACACCCCACACAGCACCACCCCACACATCACACCCCACACATCACACACCCCACACATCATCACACCCCACATCACCACACCCCACACATCACACACACCACACACACACACCCCACACATCACCACACATCACCACACCCACACATCACCACACCCCACACAGCACCACACCCCACACCCACACATCATCACACCCCACATCACCACACCCCACACACCACACCACACAGCACCACACCCCACACAGCACCACACCCCACACAGCACCACACCCCACACAGCACACACACCCCACACAGCACCACACCCCACACATCCACACCCCACACATCACCACACACACACAGCACCACACCCCACACATCATCACACACACACACCACACAACACCATGCCCCACACAGCACCACACCCCACACATCACCACACACCCACACACCACACAACACACACCCACACATCACCACACATCACCACACCCCACACAGCACACCCCACACATCCCACACCCCACACACACACACACAACACTACACCCCACACAACACTACACCCCACACATCACCACACATCACCACACCCCACACAGCACCACACCCCACACATCACCACACCCCACATAACACTACACCCCACACAACACTACACCCCACACAACACTACATCCCACACATCACCACACATCACCACACCCCACACAGCACCACACATCACCACACATCACGACCGATTTGTTCATGCAATCCTTGCTTCAATAGTCAATGAGGCTGTGTTTACCCATGAGAGTGGCTGTAAACAATAAATAAATATGAATCATGAGTAAGAGTGAGCCAGCGATGGTTGAGCAGCAGTGAGGCACGAATCTTGTGATGGAGAGTGTAAGCGATGGTTAAGTGAGTCCTGAGTGAGTTAGTGAGTGAGGAGAAGAGGTCTGATAAACCTGAGGACTTAACCACAACCACCGCCAGTCTCTCTGTCTCTTGTTCTGCTTGTACTCCTTCGTCAGTTCAGGTTATTACCCCATAAAACATCATAATAAAAATACGATTAACTAGTACTCGTATACTTAAGAACTGAAGTGATTCTCTGGGTGTCCGTCCGCCAACCAATCAGCTGCCTCACTACAAACTGACCCTACAGGCCTTCAAGCTTCGAGTGAACAGACTAAAGGTAGGTAGGTAGGTATGTCATTAACATAAATTATAGTTACCCAACACCCGGCTTAAATTTTTTACCAGTCATCAAGGTCAGTTTGTTTGGTATGACGAACCATTATAATGTTTTTTGTAGCTGAATAGTGTATCCGTGCGGAAGTAAATAAGTCTTGATTATACCAGAAGCATTAGGTTTGCAGTCTTATAGTTAATTGGTTTTACTGGTGCCCCTTTCTGAGGACTGGTGAAATCCATCCATCCTCCTAGTAAGAATGTTGTTGGATGCACTGAGTCTGGGCTTGAAGCCTGACCTGGATCGGGATTACTCATATATTTCCTTACAACTTCATCGATCAACGTCTCAAAGACACGAACCATGGCTCTGTCCTCCCTGGTTACCACACTACTGAGGTGACCGTTCAGTATTTTGTCCACTCATTTTCAATTTTCCACAGAGCATTGCATTATATTTAAAATTGTAACTCCAATTGGGTTTTCTCAGGTGCCTATTAAGTAATATACAGCTCTCGTAATGCTCAACCATGTAATTTCCAGGCAGTTTACCTCTGGGTGGTGGATTAGTGACTGGCCTTAATACCCAGGTGAATCTTTTCGTGTTATCGTGGGACAGCAGTACCAAACAACAATGACTGGGGCTCTCAGCGAAACAATGCCTGGCCCTAACACTCAACAATGGCGGGAACCACAGTGTCCCCACCAGTGACATCTGAACTTGCTCAACACCTTGACTTTGTTTGTGTCCCCTTGTGCTATCTATCTCGCTGTTATACACATTACTGCGTGTTCAGGCCCACACGTTATTTGTTTATATTTAACTGTATATCTCAGCTAAGAAAATAACTCATGGTATTGAAATGGTGTGTAATTGTGTATGTGTGTGTCAAATTCTTGATAGATAATACATATTTTAAGTGTGGGAATCTGACCTTGAAACAGAATATCGGTATGCACTGGGGAACAGACTCCGACCCGGAATTTGCCAACGTGTTCCTTCGTTATTATGAGTTCAGTTACACGCAAAACAACACTGGAACAAATTCTGGGGCAGCAAAAGATGAACACCTTCACTACGGGACGCCACTATTAATATTTGAAATGTGTAACACCGGACGATTTACGATTTTATTCAGCTTAATGAGGAGTCCGTATATACACAAGTGGTTTAGTAGACTATCTCCACTAAGCAGATGTTCAAGATATATCGATGATGTAACATCTATCTCGGCGAATTTGTATTAAACAGAGGAAATGACTCATAAAACCGCATTCATGGAGTTGGCTTTGCCACTCGCCAACGCATCCTACACAAACTAAATGAAACGCTTGTTGGGATCAACGAGCGCCTCATGACGCTCCGAGTCCCACTGAATCACTCACGTCATGCCTTCTTCATCATTGCATATGCCCCAAAACTGGATGCAGAGAATGACATCAAGGAGGCCCTTTATGCCGCCCTTGACAGAGCACTAACCTCTATCCTCAGAAAAGATAAAGTTGTGCTCCTAGGTGACCTCAATGCCAGAGTTGGTAGAGATGCTGACATATGGCAAGGAACCATGAGGAGAAACGGAGCAGGCAAGTGTAAACCCAACGGCCTACTCCTCCTACGCACAAACAACCTCACTATCACCAACACTTTGTTTAGGCAGGCCGACAAGTTCAATGGTTCTTGGCAACACTCACGATCTAAACACTGACATCTCATTGACCACATCATTGTCAGAGAAAGAGATCGCCGAGATGTCCTCATCACCCGAAACATGCGTGGCTCAGACCTCTGTAACACACAGATCATCGGCTCATCAGAGCCAAATTCTCCTTTTACGTCGCCCCAAAACGGTGAAAGCAACAAGTTTCTAGAAGAGGCTTTAACAGTAAGCGACTGGAGGTTCCAGCGGTAGCACATGTTTTAAGAGAGCAGCTCAATGATGGGTTGATAAACAGCTCAACAACAATCAACCAAATTCCCAGTGCCGAATGGGGTCCCATCAGAGCTGTAATCACAAAAACCTGCAATGAGATCTTGGTCCAGATCAAAAGAAAACATCAGGGTTGGTTTGATGAAAATGACCCGAAAAACGAAGTATTCATCAATAGTAAACATGCTGCTCTCACTGACTGGCAGAACAACCCTGTAAGTCTTGGACCAAAGCTGATACCTTCCACGAGAAGAAAACTGGGGCCCAGGGCGAAATTAGCAAACCTATGAACGAATGGTGGAAAAATGTAGCTTGTGAAATGCAAAAATTTGCGGATCAACACAAGATGAGTGAATTTTTCAATTCCCCTTACACAACATATGGCCCAACTGCTAATGGTGTGGTTCCCCTCCGCTCATCCAACAGTAACTCCCTAATTAAAGAAGAAAAAGGCACCTGTCAGCACTGGAAAGAACACTACCATTCGTTGCTCAACCAAAACACCAATGTGGATGTCCTGACTACCCAGCAGGTCCCTCAGCACCCAGAGCTGACCCACCTCAGCTATCCTCCATCCCTGGATGAGGTAGCTACTGCCATCGAGCAGATAAAAAATAACAAAGCCACAGGGCTTGATGGAATCCAGGCCGAGGTGTATAAAGCAGGAGGACCTCTACTTACCAGCTGTCTCCACTTTCTGCTGGAGGAAATCCCCAAGATCGTAAAGACGCCTCGATCGTCAATATTTATAAGAACAAGAGAGACCAGTCAGACTGTGGCAACTACCACGGGATCTCACTGCTGTCTGTAGCTGGCAAGATTATTGCCTGAGACCTCCTGAACAGATTTCTTCCAAGGGCGGAAAACTTCCTCTCAGAATCTCAATGTGGCTTAGACCATCACGTGGTACCACTGACATGATCTTTGCTGCCTGCCAGATACAGAAAAAGTGCAGAGAACAGAGTAGTGACTTGCACATGGTCTTCATTGACCTCATTCATTTTGGCTGACCATCAAAATTCATTGCCACTGTGAGGCAACTCCACGATGGCATGAATGGCAGTGTCCTGCACAGTAGCACTCAGTTTGAGTTCTTCCCCATCCAAACAAGGGTAAAGCAAGGATGTGTACTGGCATCAACTCACATTTCCATTTTCTTGGCTGCCCTTCTTACTCATGCCAGTGCCAATTTAGCCGGCGGGGTGAACATGCAGTACCGGATGAAGTGACCTTTCAACGTAAGATGACTCAAAGTAGGAAAAAAGATGTCGGCTGCTTCTATCAATGAACTTCAGTATGCAGATGACCTCACCCTCGTCGCTCACACATACTGTAGGTCCTGAGGTGAATGCACATTAGACTCAGATTCTCTTTCAGCCTGCCCCTGGTTCAACCACACCCCCACCATCCATCCAGTTTAACAGTTCTACTCTCTCTAATGTTACCCACTTTCAGTACCTTGGCTCCCACCTATCCACCATCACAGACATCGATGGAGAGATTCAACTTCGGATCAGATGTGCATCTCAAGTCTTTGGCAGAATCTGTAACCCATATCTTCAGCTGTAGGGAGCTAAAATTATCTGTAAAACTGCACATGTATCAAACGGTGATCCTCCCCACCCTGCAGTATGGCAGCGAGACATGGGTCACATGCAAGAGGCACCTCAAGGCACTAGAAAACTTTCACCAACATAGTCTATGTTCCATCCTCTGAGTTAGCTGGGAAGACAAGAGAACAAATGCCAGTATTCTAACTGATACCAACAGTAGGAGCATCGAGGCTACCAGCGTCGGAAAGATGCTGCTGCTACCCCTTGGACACTAGATGTAGCCCTACACACGTGTGACATCTGTAGACGACCCTGATCCCATATCGGCCTCTCAAGTCACCCCAGAGCACACCAACGAAAGCGAAATCCTTAATAACTCATACCATGGTACCGTTGCTGGATGATCATCACACTCAATTCCGAGTGACAGAAATGTAGTAGTAGTAGTGTTGTGTAATAATAATAATAAGTGACAGTTTATTACGATAACATTACTGCCAGAACGCTGAAAATATACAATAAACAGAGATGAGAAAAGGGGTATCACGAGAAGGGGTGAATTACATGACCTCACACAACAGCGAGTAAGCATTAACGGCACAAAATCCGATTGGAGGAACGTCACTAGCGGAGTTCCCCATGGCTCAGTACTTGGACCATATTATTTATTATATACATAAACGACATAGATATCGGCGTAGACAGCAACATAAATAAATTTGCTGATGACACTAAAATAGGGCGGGTAAATAAATCTGACGAGGACTCCGCAAAACTACAGGAAGATCAAAACAAATTTTTCGAATGGTCTGAAAAATTGCAGATGAAATTCAATGTGGACAAATGTAAAGTACTCAGTTTAGGAGATGTAAACAGAGAAACCAGATACCAGATGAACAACGATGTTATTGAGAAATCCGACTACGAGAAAGATTTAGGAGTAATGATAAGTAGGAATCTTAAGCCAAGTAAACAATGTGTATTTGCTCGAAACAAGGCTGATAAAGTAGGTAGTACGCAGCTACCAAACAGGGAGGTACTACCGCCTGGGAAGATATTGGAAGCATAATGTGTTGTCTAATGGTAGACCCTGCTGCCATATGGCATTACGAAAATTGTGACCAAGTCCCAGGTTGCTGATCTGACTTTCTGCCTCATTTACACACAATTGCAGGGTCTCAATTGTTTCTCTTAACATTGACAACACAACACGTATATTGTATATTGTTTCTCACTCTTGATATTTTTTTATTTTATTTTATTTTATTTCTTTATGGTTCTTTATTATTATTATTATTATTATTATTATAATTATTATTATAATTATTATTATAATTATTATTATTATTATTATTATTATTATTATTATTACATTTTCGCCCCGAGGCCCCGATGTGGGTCAGTGACCTGTGTTCGGGTGGGCTAATATCCGTAAAAAAAAAACTTGGGTTCATTCAAAGGAGTGTTAGTTACAAGACTAGCGAGGTCTTCCTAAAACTATATCTTGCGCTTGTGAGACCTCACTTGGATTACGCAGTTCAATTCTGGTCACCGTATTACAGAATGGATATAGAATCCTTGGAAAGAATTCAGAGAATGACAAGGCTAATCCCGGGCATTGGGAACCTTGAGTACAGAGACAGGTCAAAGCATCTTAATTTGCATTCCCTCAAGAGACGTAGAGTGAGGGGCGATATGATAGAGATGTATAAATGGTTGTCAGGGCTAAACAAAGGGGACATTACAAAGGTACTCAGACTATCCAACCAGGAGCGATCTCGTAACAATGGTTTTAAATTAGACAAATTTAGATTTAGGCGCGAAATAGGTAAACATTGGTTTGAAAATAGAGTAGTAGACGAGTGGAACAAGTTACCAAATATCATCATTAACTCGAATACGCTGGATAGCTTCAAACATAGGTTGGATGGATATATGAACGATAGGGGTTGGGTGTAGATGGGACTGCCCAGTATGGGCCAATAGGCCTGCTGCAGTTTCCTCCATTCTTACATTCGTATATGGTAAAATTGGGGAGTAAGTCACTTGACGGAGAACAGCTTTCAGTACAAAAGGATAAGAATCATAGAGTCAACATATAGATTAACTTTAGATCTGGTACTGAGGGAGCTGGTCTTGTGAACAGTCTTGTGACCTTATATTGGTGCTAACAGTCATTCCTATGGTTTGGATGGCCGTCGTAGCTAGGTGCCAAGCCGCTTCCACACTACAGGTGCAGATGTTTTGCATATCCATACGTGGTCCGGGTAGGTCCTTCAACTCACACAGGGTGTTGGAGATGGGTCTTGTTCTTCATGTGATTTAGTTAGGAATTCATTGTTCCCCACCTGGGTGGAGCAGGGAGTCCTCATTTCTCTCCTGATGTAGTTTGGAGTCTTTGTTGGCTTCTCATCCAGGGTCCGCCGTATACCCACCATCACCAGGTTGTGGGTATACGGCGGACCCTGGGTGTGTGAGGTCCACGTCAGGTCACCATTGACCACTGAGCGCTGATTGTCACTTTAACAGTTGTTGCTTTATTTCGAGTTGAAATTGTCACTTTTATATCTCAGTTGTGGGTTGATCATCAATCTTTGCACTGTAGTGTTGGTGGGAGGATGTTGATAAAACCTGATGGGGAGGAGATGGGGGGGAAGGTCCGACAGACCAGGCTGGCACCTGTCTCCATGGACCAAAAGACCATGGCCGCCTTAGTGGAGCAGCACCGAGTACATCCTCACTCCAGGAGGACTGAAGATGGTTTGCGTGTGTAGTAGTAGTACTAGTAGTAGTCATGAATCGGGTTAAAGTGATCATTATTTAAATAAGGTAATCATATTTTGTATCACAGGGTATGGGCGCAGCAGCCGTCGGTGTGGGCGCGCTGGCGTGCTCGGTGACATTGGGCTACACCTCCCCAGCCCTACCCTCCATGCGAGCAGACCCAGACTTCTTCATCACAGAGGAACAGGTCAGTCCAGGGATCTTGTTTACAGGTTTGACGATGTTTATTATTTAATACTGTTTGTTGATCCAGAATGGCAGCTTTTCGTGTCACTCCCTCATGTTTCTCACCAACCAAGAGTTTCATGATGCTCTGATCACTGCAGAAGGAATTAAAATTATTGACAACTTAAATACTAACCCATCATTTACCTCGGCTAAAACATGTGTATCAAATTGCATTGGAATTTAATTTAAAACGGAGCACGTACTGTACCTACAAGATTTGTGATCTACAGTAGTCATTCCAGAAAGGTCAAATCAGGTCACTAACTCCTTATATGTAATCTCACCGGACACCTTACCGGGAAGTACTTTTTTATTCAAAGTTTTACCCCAAAAATTAATTTAAAACAACATTTGTAACCCTTAGAAATTTTGTTTACTAGCAGACAGGTCCACAAACAACCACATGTCAAGTCCTCGTCGGTTTACGTTGAAACAAAAATGTGAAGTCACTATTTACAAGCTGGCTTCTTGGTATTTTCTTGCTACTACAATATTTTGTGGTTGTTGGACCATTAATATAATGTAACTTAGTTGAGTAAACCATGATGTGTTGTGTTGCAGGAATCGTGGGTGGGGGCGGTGATGCCGGCTTGTGCTCTGGTGGGTAGTGTGATCACTGGGCCATTAGTTGACAGTCTGGGCCGCCGTACCACGCTCCTACACCTCACCTGGCCCTTCGCGCTGTGTACGTGTCCTCATGCCTGGTACACCAAACGCATACATCATGTGTGCTGTTTTGACTAGCACTTGTTGTAGACGTGGCCTCTTACCTGGCTCTGTACAATACTCTCTCCCTTCCTTCATGCTCAGTGCACCAAGGTCCTGTGTGTCATCACTTCTTCGTGATCAAGTCTTTTATCTCTGTTTACTCAAGTCTTTTGATATCTTATGAATACCTCCATGAAGATTACTTATTTTAAGATAGGAAATTTAATCCAGGATAAAATGGGACCATTTTTGTCTCCATTGTGGGGAGAGGCACCCAAGTGAATACAGCTTTCGTCTGCCACTGAGTGGGCCGCCCCCAGTCGACCCAGTGGTAAGATGGATAGCAAATTTTATTGTTGTGGAAGTGAAAGGCAGTACACAACAATGACTAAGTCTTTACTGTGCAATATCCACATTGCCCCTAACGAGACGTCAGGAGTATGGGATCCACTTTCAGTCTCCCATGTCTGTCTGGTTTCCGAGATGTTAAAAACATAATTGGTTAATACACATAACTGAGAATAAAATGCTTAAACAAATCGAGGAAGCAAAGTTTTTGAATTTCTCCTACATACTGCCTCTAATTTGTTGATGTTTGTACAGTATATTATACAACGTAATTTTTCAAGATTTATTATTAATGTTATATTGTTTGATAACATATTCATAATTACCTTCTTTTCTAGTTTCATATCCGTAGCTGAGGATAAATTTGTGAGTTAAAACACAGACTTTATCCTAGTTATTGTTTGTAGCGTGGATGATGATAGCCACGTCCAGCAGCGTGACCGGGGTGGTGCTGGGCCGCATGATGGGCGGCTTATGTGTGGGCATGCAGGCAGTGGCCGGTTCGGTCTTCTTGCCTGAGATTGTCGAGGTGGAGCTGCGCAACATTATGACCGCCATCCCTGCTGTGTTTGGTAACCTAGGTACGTCTGATTCAGTCTTAATTACCCAGACAGGAACACTGTGCAAAGTCTTGCATCATATTTCATGGTCAGTTCTAAATACACGAATAAGCCAAGATGTTGACAATCAAATTATCTTAAATCCACTGTCAGGATCCTGTTACCGAGGAAGCACCTTCAAAATAACAGTGCTATACCTCATTGTTTTTCAGTTCGTGTTCAGCCCGTTCGTTATCGCATGTGTTAATAAGGAACATAAAAAAAACGCTTGATTTCTTAGGTTTGATGCTGAGTTTCGCGTCGGGGCAGTACTTGACGTGGCGCGGGCTGGCATGGCTGGGGGCGTTGATGACCCTACCAGTAGTGTTGTTCCTCCTGCCACTCCCTGAGACTCCCAGCCACCTAACACGCACAGGTAAAGGCCTCTTACACCACCTAACACTGCCCCACACACACCACCACCAGCACCCCCCCTAACACTGCCACACACCACCACCCCTAACACTGCCACACACCACCATCATCACCACCTAACACTGCCACACACCATCATCACCACCTAACACTGCTAGACGATGTAGGTGGGTGAGAGGCTCTGGGGGACCTTTGGGTAGTAACATAATAACTACCTATAATATAATTTACACACATATACTGTACCTGGTGACCCCTCACCCCCCCTTTTAAGTATAGGATAGTTAAAATAAGTCGACCAGATGTTAGTGTGTTGGCCCCACAAATTAAACCTTCAATTACATAACTATACCAAACTGCAGCTCCTTATGTTAAGAAGGGTGAGGATAAAACGACACACACACACACACACACACACACACACACACACACACCCTCTCTGATTTATTTGAGGGGTTGAGGGGTAGTTCATACCCTATCTCTGTCCTCCAAAATTCAGTACCCATACAAAAAATAATCATACCTAATTTCACCTATACATAAAGACTCTGGTTGTGCTCTGAGGGGGTCATGTTCAGGGCTGGTCGAATCCCCCTCAATTTGGACATTAGTGAGCGTCCTTGAGGCTTTTCACAAAAACATTTCAATTTTAAACTCCCTATCATAATGATAGTGACCATGCATAGCAAAAAAAAAAAAAAATAAATGATGGATTCCACCTTTGGTGTTAGGCTGACCATTTTGCCTACCCCAGTGCATGTACATCCTCATGCCAAATTTCATCTATTTTTTTAAATTGTAGCCGTGCTGATTGAACACCCAGGGCGTCTCTATACATGGATCTCGCCTCAGGACGATGTAAACAACATAGTCAGGAATCAAATAGATTAAATTAAATTTCAGGAAAGATTCAGAAATTCAATAACACGAACTAAGACCTATCGAGGAGTAGACTGGACAAAATTAAATGTGATTTACTTAAGCTGAAAACGGGGGCAGGGATAGAATATGAAATTAAAGCCAAAATTAGGGTTTCAATATTGCTAGAAGGTGACTTTGATGAAGAAGGCAATTTAATAATTCCAATGAAGTAATGTTAGAGACTTGGGAAAACTAATGGGACAGGTGGAACGAGGCTAAAAGTGAGTGGAGGACAAATTAATTTTTAAAGAAAATGGATAGATGAAAAAATGTGAGAAAACGAAGTGAGGTTTTGAAAAAAATTCAAAGGGAATACAAACAGGCCAAGAAAGATGATCTAGAAAGGAAATGCAAGGAGATTGAAGATGATGACAGAAGGCATAATTATAGGGAAATGTACAGAAAGTGGAGTACCCCAAGGCAGTGTTCTTTCACCCACGATGTACAATATCTACACAGCAGACCTACCAGAACCATCTCCCTACAGTGAATACATAAGTTTTGCAGACGATATCACACAAATCATCACATACCCTGGCAAATCAACAGCAATAATGGCACAACATACTGCCAACGCAATAGAGAACATCAACCAGTACGAAAAAAAGTGGAAGATACAAACGAACACCAACAAGTTTAAAATAATCCCAATCGCTAAAAGGAAAAAAGACCCCATTATAGTAGACAACAAAGTGATTCCATATGCCATGGAAGGCACTGTCCTAGGGCTGAAGATAACAACAAAAGGCTACAAAACATTCATCACCGAAAAACTTGTAAAAACCAGAAACATGGTAACTAAATTAAAACGTTTCAGAAGCCTGTCAGCAAAAAACAAACTAAAGTTATATAGAGCCTATGTCCAATCCCGACTAGTATATCCGCCAATTCCCCTACATGCAATAAAACAAACAAACATAAAGAAACTGCAGACAATTCAAAACTTAGCCCTAAGAGATGTATATAACATCAGATATCCTGACATAGTCACCAACCGTCAACTACACCAACGAGCCCAAATAGAACCCCTAAACATTTACCTACACGAACACTCAAAAAGAATATGGACGAAACTAGAAGAAATAGAGCCAGGACCAATCAAAGAATGGATGGAAGAGACAGAAGACGGAAGAAGAGAACACTCGTGGTTCCCTCGCAGTAAAAGAAGAGCCCTAGAACCCACACCAACTCCACTCTACTAAAAGATGCAAGGTTACCCCAGTGACAACCTTGGCAGCCAAATCACTCACAACATTAGATCATAAAAAGATAGGATGTTCTTGGCAGAAACACAAGTACCTGCCCTAGACTCCTCACCATTGGCTAGGACATAACACACGAAAATGAAAGGCATAAAATTGCAACAGTTGCTAAACATACAAACACCTGACATAAATATAACACTTAAGACGAAAGTTAGCTTAAACACAAACATGAGATAACAGAAGCACTTGGGTTGAGCCCCAAGACCTATCATTCTACTACTATTTTCCAATTTCCTCGCTTTTCTTCTGCACTATCCACCAACCCCAAGTCCCTCCAAATTCCACCATTTTTCTTCAAGTCCATCCATCCATCCTATATATATATATATATATATATATATATATATATATATATATATATATATTAGTGCATAATTACAGACAATTATATTTGTTTGCAGTAAATGTTTCATCAGTAATGCAATTTTCTCTAAGTGTTTTGTGAGAAAAATATTCTGTGCCAGCTTGTTAGTCGAGGGAAGTTTTGTTCTTTCAGTTATTTTGCAAAGGTCAGAAATTTCACCTAACTACGTCATTTTACATTAAGACCAAATCAAATAGTGTTTGAGCAATGTGATCACGAATCTTATCCAACAGGCAGGAAAGAATCATCCCTTATTGCATTGAGGCAACTCCGACGCACAACCCAACACGCTGAGAAGGAGCAGCAGGAGATCACCAACAGCTGCAGCAGCAGTGACAGCAAAGCAGACATCAGCGTTTGGGAGACAGTGCAATCACCCAACCTGTGGCCAGTGAGTGTGGGGATCGGTCTCATGGTGGCACAACAAACCACAGGCATCACTGCTGTCGTTTTCTTTGCCTCTAGCATCTTGGACTCTGGTGAAGATGGTGCGGGAGGCAGCGCCGCATCAGTGTTGCTGGGTGTGGTCAATTTCTTTAGTACCTTCGTGGGCATGATTGCCATGGCTAAGTTTAAGCGACGTCAAATGCTCAGCCTGTCAACCACTGTGATAGTGGCTTCCCTCTTCATTTTGTCACTTTTCTTCTGGGCCAAAGACGCTGGAGGTTCCTACTCCGACATTGCCAAGACTCTGCACCTGGTGCCTGTAGTAGGGCTCTTAGCATACATCATCGGTTTTTCACTAGGCTGGGGGCCCATACCCTGGGTTTTCCTAGGAGAAGGAATGCCCAGCCGAGTGCGAGGCAAAGCCGTGGCCATGGTGGTAGCTGTCAACTGGGCGTCAGCTTTCCTGATCACCAAAACATTTGGATGGTGCGTGTCATCTCTTGGTGCCCACACCACCTTCCTAGGCTACGCTGTGGCGACCGCTGTGAGCGCCACACTTCTCAGGCGTGTTATGCCAGAAACATTCCTCCAGTCTGCTGCCCAGATGAATCGTCTCTACCAAGAGGCTGCCAAGATAAAACAACAATGATCGTGTTTATATCTATATTTATATATGATGACTAAATCTTACAAATGTCGTCACACCGCCCACAATACTTCTTATAATACAAGACTCCATCAAAGGCACTCAACTGACTTGTTCCGACAAGGCCATCGTTCCAATAACCCAATCCAACTTACTTTACCTTGGTGTGCACCTCCTGTGAACAGTGTACATATAATACCATGTACTTAAATTACTGTGTTACGAGTTGGGGATTTAGAATATGGTTATACGTCTACCCAGATCCCAACAGGTAACAACAATAAAAAAAAAACAAAGACAATCGGACTATAAAAGGGTAGACAAAGGATGCGAGTTTTCGTTGTATATAATAGAGTACCATAAATCCCTTAACAAATATTCAGCTTATAAATTACCCTTAACCAAACTTAACCTAAACATTAACAGTATATACATATTAATACAACATAAACAATTTTGAAGCAAGTGGACGTGGGGGAGGTAATACAAGATACATGTACTTAAGTGAGGAGCTGAGATGGCTGACGAGTAAGGCTGAGTATTGTAGAAGACGGTAGGTAGTCACTGCACGTAGGTTTAGAGGATAGATGATCCTGTGGTCACTTCCCAGAGCCAAGTCTCCTCTCCTCGAATTGGAGCTGACAAAGAAGACTTTGAGGAGGTGACGCAACAACCAGGATATGGAGAAGAGAAACCCCGGAGTGGTAACTAAGACGAGTCATACTCGTGTCTCGTCCCTAGATGGCGTTGCTCGTGGTGCTGGGTAGGTAGATCAGGACAATAGATGGCGTGGTTCGTAGTGCTGGGTGGAGGGGTTCGTAACAACTGATATATAGGACGACCTTTCATTTTTGGGGATATGTACACTGTAGATAACATAAAAAATATATATAATCTGATGGAAAGGTAAATGATGGGTAAATCAACGTGATAATGAGGTGGACAGTCAGAAAGACGAAAAAAATAATAACATTAAACTGTCAAAACAAACTGCAGGAACGCTGGAGTGACGCCTTCTTAACCCAGTGGTCCTCACCGCGCGCTGCAGCAGTTGTGTCGACCTTCACACCATCATTAGGTCACGCTGAGAAGCAGCCAACACAACGAAAAATATACGAGCATTATATTGTGAAAACCAAACAGTCATTATATAACTTAGCAATCCAGATACTTTTGTGAATATTTTGAGATTTACAGTATAATTGTGAGCTACAATGCAAAACTTAAGTGCTGAAATGTGCTCAGTTCACAAGTTGAATTTGCACACCTGAAGTCGCATAAATGCATTAGATGGACATTATTACTTCTTAATATCAACTGAGACATGGGACCTGAAGTGAAAGTTTAGTCACAATAACTCACACAGCTGACACACGAGTATTCATATACATTTTTAGTAAGTTGTATTTTGAGAAGACCATCAGTGGACCGCGGAAACCCTCGGCTAGATCCCATGACACGAGAAAATGTCCCCAAAAGACCAGTTACTTAATGGACGGGAGAGACGTTGAGTGTAGTTATAATATATAAAATTATTTAATATTTGTATATGAGGAAATATAATACTTTGATGTGACGTTTATATAATTTAACTTTAATCGACAAGAAAATCGTTAATTTTCGTTCGTATGGACGTCGCTGTTTCTAAGGTAAGGGGATACCCATCAACTCAAAATTAATTCCTAGGTTGATCTGTGACGCTTAATCTGTGCATTAGTGCAGCGGCTGAATATGTGTGGTCCTCAGGGTCGTATAGTAAGTCTACTGTCCTTTACTGAAAGTTTTGGGTCTCATAGGCCACGAGACCCACTTTCATTTATAAATAGAATAAAAAATAAAAAAAATAAGTTTTCATTTGTCATATAATTTCATTAATATGTTATAGTGACTTTATAGTTATTATGATAAACACACAGCCCGTCAGGTTCTATGTCTAAAATTATCACGAATATTAAAAGAAATGTGATAACTGCCAATGAGAACAACTCTCGTATCGAATTTGTGTGGATTCTGTCCCATGTTGGAATTAGGTATCATGACCGTGCTGATAGACTGGCCAATGAGTCATGTAAGAAAGAAAATGTTGACCGTGATCTTGGCCTGTCCAATGCTGTACTTTAAACATTCAATTCATGAACTCTGATCTAGAAGAACTGTTATATGCAGAGACCTGGCAGTTGTAGCATTAATAAATATGACAAATTTTGTGACAAGAGGTACCGGTATGGCCAGCATAAGGACAGAACTAGACAATGTGATGTAGTCGTGGACAGACTTAGGCAAGGATACAGACACATCTGGCAAGTTAGCAACGCTGTACCCATACCGGAACACTCAGCCTGTAAACATTGTGATAAACCTTTAAAGCATACACTTGAACACTATATTATTGAATGTAACACTGTCAAAGACTTCAGGCCACCTGGCTTATTATATCTTGAATCAGGGGTGCTTGGGGACATTCTTGCTGGTTATTCAAAATTTGCTAGCCCACACTGCTTAGTCTTCAATTAGAATATGACGTCCAATGTATATGAACCACTGTCTTGCATGGCAGTGAACAGTGATATCACCCACATGACTCTGACCTATATATACTGTTAATGAATATGATGTATTTCTTTGTGTACGAACCTCGGTCTTGCATGGCAGTGAACAGTGATATCACCCACATGACTCTGACCTATATATACTGTTAATGAATATGGTCTATTCCTTTGTGTATGAACCTCTATCCTGCGTGGCAGTGAGAAGTGATACCACCCTCAGTGTCAAGACCTGACTGAATTACTTCAAACTTTGTCAATAAATTTGTTAAACTAAAAAACTTAACTATAAAAACTTGACCACCATAATTCAGGACAGGATAAACTGACTGGTCAGACATTCACCCAAGAGTGTAGCTACTTTTTCATAGGTATTATTTGTTTCATAACTAATATAGTGTAAGCGGCACAAATAACAGAACACAAACATGATAGCTACAAGCTGTGCAGAGTAAGTGGAACATATACTTGTCCCGGGCAAGTGACTTGAAATTTGCCTGTCCGGATATTTTTTATGGGAAAAGTTAATTAATCATATTAAAGCATTCAAATTTATTGTATGTGTCAACCCATAGATCACTTGTGTCCGTCTAAATGGTGTCAGTGGCAGTAACTCGTCATGTGATGTCATAACTCCTGTCACCTCACCTCTCACCTGCCCTACCTACCAATCCCCCCCCCCCACCCCACCATAATCTTGTGTCAGTTAGCAGAAACACATCTACAGCCTTTGGCTTGATGGTTCCTTTAAAATGTTGACAACCTGACACTGACTGACAAGAGGCAGCTTAATGTTCACATAGATTACCTGCACCTGACATAGATCACTAGTAGAGGTAGTGTGCCCTGATGACCTCCCTGGCTAAACATGTATTGTGTAATAAATGTATATTACAGTATATCTTATTTCTATTTATTTACTTACTTTTACTCTTTCTTTATTCCCTAATTCTCTTTGGGAGGGGAGAATGGGAAGAGGGGGAAGGCTGATAACTGAGGAATAGGGCTACCCTGCAATAACTGAGACACAAGTGGAAACAGGTGATAGTTTTGTACTTACTCATGGGGGTCACTGCATAACACAAAGACACTTAAGAGGAATATTTTACTTAATGCACAAGGGAAGGGAATTGAGAGCTTTTCTTGACAGTTCTTGACATAATTTACTCTAAAAATCATGGCACTGTTACAATGGTGAGGTGGGGTCACACAGCAAATTTCTGTCTAGGTATTTACCTCTCAAAATATTAGCTTGTCCGCTGGGCAAGTGCCGGGCACACGAACATGAAAAATCATTTGCCTGGATGACTATGAAGAGCTGCCACTTCCCCCTCTGATGCATATTGAGCCCTATAGCACACACCTACTGTCAGCGTGCTTTTGTGTTGTACCATCACATCACACCAAGTAGATTCGGATGATTCCATTTCATTTAGCTCGTCATTACTAATAAAAAGGGACATTAACTTTAATTTGAAAAAAAGTGGTTGCTGGAAGGCTAAACAGTATATGGTCACGACCGTTGTATGGGTCAGAAGCTACGTGGACACTTTCAGGACACCAGAAAGAGGTTGGAGGTCTTTATAATGTGGTGTAATATTTTTATAGGCAAATGTTAAAAATAAGTTACACTGACGGGAAAACAAATGAAGACGTACTGAGATTAGTAAAATCTTCAAGAGAAATGCTTGAAATGTATAGACAAAGAAAAATTAGAGGCTTTGGTCATATAATTAGGGACGAGGGGATGATAAGAAATATTAATGGTCAAAGTTGAGAGCAGGAGGACCAGGGGAAGGCAGAGACTGGGACGGATGAATGAACAAAAAAATGGGTGCCCCAGAGATACAAAACGCTAGAAAATTGGTAAAAACAGCCTGAAAACATTTAGAATGGAGGACTGTGGTCAGACCCTCAGATATGAGGATGGTACTCTGATTGTTTGATTGAACTATCTATTGCTAATACGTTCTGAATGTGGCAAAGCTGACCAATACTTGGCAACGTCGAGACGAGTATTTTGATTCCTTCAGCTTAGTTAATGTTACCTGAATCTCTGGCTTTCTGAGGAGAGTGAAATATTCCACTGTATTATGATTCATATATAGCTGCTGACATATATGTAGTGACTTTATTGTTACAACAGTGGATGTAAAGTGCTGGGGGTTGCGGGGACCTGGGAGGTTAATATAAAATGTAGATAGTTGCAAGTGAAAGTATATATAAGCAAAAGCAAATATAACCCAAGAATAAGGTGAATTAATGCCCAAATAAACACAAATAGCTGTATCCATAGGTGAATGAGTTTCGAACAGACAACACCCTACAGACCACATGTAAACCAAGAAATATCTAATAAAGAAACTCAACAGACACGCTGTGATAGCTGTTTTTGTATCACATTAATTGTTTTAAATAAGTTCTGGCACTCTAAGTGGCAGGGCTTGATGTAAACACTGCTTGTTGGCTTTTCTTTTATTGTCGAAGCGTCTATATACACAGATATGCATATCTGAGAGAATGTATCATGAATTCTCTCCAGGGATGTGTTATGAGTACACTTGTAGAGAACACTTAAGTTATGTGTTAACCCCTGAAAAAAATGGTAATGATC